AGTGTGAGTAAATGATGACATAGTTCACCCAAAAAATGAAAATGATCTTATTAATATATAAAATATTAAATAAAAACATAACTGTGAATAAAATAAAGGACTGTATCTCATTAAAATAAAAATGTAATTGTTTTTTATCTTCTCATAAACAAAATAGATATTTAATGTTATAATAAGCTCTGTTTTTTATTATTTTAGCTTTGTTCCAAAAAACAAAAACATTTTTTAATGTTTAATTTAGTTGACGGCAATATTTCGTGACTCAGATCCCATTAGTCATTTGCAAAATTAAAAATGCTTGTGAATATTGATTTAATCCCTTCTGTTCTTACTTTGATGACTTTCAGAGCTTTGAATTCTGAGAAATGTGAATCTGCTTGACTTTTCAGAAGCTAGCGGAGCGTAGCGTGCCAACGCTCATATTTACCACTTTCACGGCCGATGATTTTAGTGGCTGTCAGTCTCTGTCCAACAAAAGCTTTTATGAGATAAAAAAGACTTTACGGCTGAATTGTGTCTGCTCTTGTTGTCTAAGGCTGCATTTACAGGAGTCCGTTCTCCATTTACAGTGGCGTTTTATAATGAAAACGCTCCTCGACAGTTGTTTTACAGCATTTCAGAAAAACTATTTTCGTCCACACTATATAGCCTAACATGCATGATGTGTGACCACACTCACTGGGCATGAACATATTTTGCCTGCATCTGTGCTTGTTGTCTACTGGTTGTGTATTGGAGATATGTGAGAAGCTTGATGAGTCAGGGAATGATGCACTGTAGTCCGGCAGACCAATCAGAGACCGCTTATGCATAGCCATGCCTCCATTTTCAAACATTTTGTGTTTTTCAGTCTGTCTATACTGAAATGGAACCAAACTAAAATTAGGTCCTCAGTAGGGCTGAATGGATCACTTTTATTCGATTTTGATTGTGGAATCACATTAAAAAATATATATATATATTGATTATTTTCTGCCGAAATACATAATGGTAAGCAACTTTTTATCAGGGAGAGGAATTGAGAAAATATTCTGGTAATATAAACAGTGTGTATCTTACATGAAAAAAGCACCAGTTGTTGTCCAGTCCAGTTCTGTTGCTAAATAATTATTATTGCCTTCTCCAAAGACATCTGCGTGTATTTTACAAACCATAAATGGTATGTTTTGCTTGTAGTTATGTGTATTTGAATGTCTGAAACCTAAAATAAATGTTAAATGTTTGCAAGCACATATAAATTGTGATTTCTGTGCCCTACCGCACCCCATCAGATTTGAATTTTAGCAGTTGATAAACGTTCTAATCACACCGGTGTGATTGTGCGCCTGAGGGTAGAGATATGTGCTGGACTGAATTTTTTGTCCCACTCGCCAGGTTTTCTACTCGACCTGACCATTCCCGCTAAATTTATTTCTGGTTACCAAAACATGTTAAATTGGATACTATTAAAAGAGAGAGATAACTGATAAAAGTATAAGTTGTGCAGGGATTGTAGGCTAAATGTCAGTTTTGTTTGTGATGAGACATGAGTGCCGCATTTGTGGCTTGTGAGGCACCAACTCTTTCAAAATGAGATTTACAAACATATCCACTGAATATATTTGCTAGCTAGCGACTGTGCTTCATATATGATATCAGCCTTATTTCTTTACACATAGCAGGTACATATTGGGCTAAGGAAGAATGTAAAATGAATAGTGATTAAATAGGCCTCCCAAAAACACCCAGTTGGATGCTACAAAGTCCAGACAGCCTATAACAAGTGACACACAGCACAACGTCGGATGCACACGCGTTTTATCCGGAAACTTATTTGAAATATTCGGAATGCAGACCTCTACTTCAGGGACCAGCCAAGGGTGATCACACCGGTGTGACCGTATGTGTGGAAGGGTTAAAATGCATTTAGAAATTTCAAAAATACTTTTATTCTAGCCAAAATTAAAAACAAATAAGACTTTCTCCAAAAGAAAAAATATTATGGGGGAATACTGTGGAAAAAAAAAATTCTGGCTCTGTTAAATGTCATTTTGACTAATTTTGACTTCAACTTTATTTGTTGAACGCTTCTAGTGGATAGTCCTTTGAAAAAATTATTTTAATTTAATTTAGTTAGTTAATTAGTTAATTTAATTCAAATAATTAAACTTCACTTCTTTGGACCCACCATTTTCAAAACACTCCATTTTCCTATGGTTGAAGAATCAGTAGTAGTGTGGATGCCAGACGCAACAAGACCAAACTTCTGTGCTTTAAAACAAAAACGGTCTAGTGTAAAAACACCCAAGTGTGAATATTTACTCTTGTCTGCCTCATGTGTGAAAGTGTGTTAGATGCACACTGGGACACGAGTCAGAATCTCTTGAGAACGTGAGCAAGACTTCTACCTCCAGTGTCTCTCTTTCTCCCCTCTTCTTGTCCGTGTTTTCCCAATAGAGTTAAACGCTTGGCTGCGAGTGATTTGAAGATGGTTTGAAGGATAGTCCCGCTGGGGAAACCGGGAACAGGGAGGCATAACTTTTATAAAATACACTTTTGTGGAGCTGTAACCTAAGCACTTTATATGGAAGGAATGTCTTGCTCTTTTGTCTCCATCTCTTTCTCTCTCTCTCTCTTGCTCTGGATCCTTCTCTTTCTGTTGTCTCCGTCTCTCTCGCCTCCGTTTCGTGACTGGACGGCAGAAATGTGTTTTTCATTGTCTGTATGTGCTGCAGTCCTCCCATTTTCACATGTCTGCATACTTTTGACATGAAATCTGTTTCTTTCACTCCCAAACACCACGCGCACACACACATATACTCTCGCGCTCCTCGTATTGCAGACAAATCAGTTGTTTAATTGAAAATCCAGCTGTGACGGCATATATATAGGATGTGTATAAAAAGTGTTTGACTCAAACTTTTGGACGCTGTTTTATTCAGGGTTGGAGCAGTACTTCAGAGATCGTTTACATGAAAATTGATTTCATTTTGATCGTAGCTCCATTGGGATCAAGCATGTCTGCCAATGCAGTACATAGGACATCACAGAGGAGTGTGTTTCTGTCTGTGTTTTTGTTTGTTTATGAAGAAATTGTAGCATAAAGTCTGCTACGTTTAAAGTATTTTTCTTTCTCTTTAGTTAGTCAGTCAGTGGTTTTACAAAATGTTGATGACTAAAGCATTACATTAAAAAGTCAACATGTAATCTAGTGCACTTTGAAATTTGTTAAATGTAATTAATTATTAATATTAATATTATTTTGCCCAATTGTTTTTTGCCCTCTTAATTTCGACTTTCTCTTTTTTTATGTTTAAATTAGATTTAAACAAGCAAATTGTCTCATTTTTTTAAATAATGAAATTTAATTCAACCTACACTACCTGACAAAAGTCTTGTCAATTCCAGTTGTAAGAGCAACGAATAACAACTTGACTATTAGATGATTATTTGGAAAAGTGGAAGATCTTTTAAACTGCATCCCAATCATCACAGATACTGCAAAAGACCTTTTAAAACCCGCATGGACCCAATATTCTCATAGAAATCAGTCAAGTTTGGTGAAGGTAAAAAGCCAAAGTTTGGCTTGTGAGAGGCAACATCAACAACCTGAGGTATCAAGACATTTGTGCTGCTCATTACATTGCAAACCACAGGAGAGAGCAAATTATGCAGCAGGATAGCGCTGCTGCTCATACTTCAGCCTCCATGTCAAAGTTCCTGAGAGCAAAGAAGGTCAAGGTGCTCCTGGACTGGCCAGCTCAGTCACCAGACATGAACAAAATCGAGCATGTTTGGGGTAAGATGGAGGAAGAGGCATTAAAGATGAACGCAAAGAATATAGATGATCTCTGGGATTCCTGCAAGAACGCTTTCTTTTCCATTCCAGTTGACTTTATTTGTAGGTTATTTGAGTCATTGCAGAGATGTATAGATGCAGTCCTCCAAGCTCATGGGAGTCATACACAATATTAATTCTTTTTCCACTGCAACAAGACTTTGTTATTCTATGCTGTACATTATTTCTGCTAAGTGACAAGACTTTTGTCCAAGCACAGTCAGACCACTTTTAGAATTACATTCTACTGTGCAATACTAATAGACCTCTTATTTGTGAAGATAAACAATATGATCAATATTGATCAGTTGTTGTGAAGATGCTTGTGTTTCTTTGTTTCAATTAAAACTACAACAGTTTTTTTTTCTCTTAAGTAAAACATAGTTACTGTTGTAACAAGTGTGTGGGTCCTTATAAACAGAGACAGTACATTCCTAAAACACATCACATGGGCTTCAGTATGTATAGTAAAAAACACCATTTATTCAGAGGAAGATCCAAAACATACTTCATACTTAAATAATGTTATTTTTTTGTGTGGTTTAATATTCACAAACACTAGTCCATATCATAATTCTGAGAAATTACAGTAAAGTTTATTCTATTTTTATGACTGAAATATATGATTTTTCCATGGAAATCACGTTTCCTGAATAAACAAAATTGTCCCCTTTTCTTAATTATCAATCATGGTCATATTGTGACCAATTCGTTGGTGCACAGTATTTAAAATGGTATAAATAATGAATTTTAATTGTATTCCAATTTGCTATTTTTGCACTGAAGCCACTGTCTCTTTAAGGGCAATTTTTATATAATTTGACAATAAAATCTTTGGCACATTTGGTTTTGCTTCGTTATGGTATTTGATGTCCACCTTTCACAGTCCAGTCAACTCCAAATATATATTTGAAATCATGACCTGCCCTACATTTATCTTGTTGCTGTTTCACTGGAAAAAAAAAAGTATTGTGGAATAAAATAAGTTTAATGTTAAGACATTGAAAAAAAAAAAAACTAGATGATTTTCAAAGCTGGGGCAAATATCCCTTTCATTTTTCTTAGTACAACCCTGGAATTAGATGTAACTGTTGAAAGCACAATGGTACATCTTAATCAGGGATAAATAGATGATTGGATGATTATAAATACAGGTCACTGATATATAAATAAATGAATACTGGAGATTTGAGGTGAGTTCTTAAATTAACTCTTACAAAGACACACACAGATACAAAAACATGAAGTATATTTACACACCAACGTTACTTCCCTAAAGCAGACCTTGCCTGGCCTGATGAACAGTTCAGCCCAGTGCCAGTCCCTATTGGTAGAACATTTTGTAAGTAGTGACAATCTTTGAAAAACAAAACTATCATTAAGGTTTTAGGGTCCAAACAACGAGGAAATATCAGAAGAAATTGACTGATATGTGAGAAGGACGTTAAATGGAGATGGGCATGAAGATGCTGAAATTGACCACATTGACATTCAACTCCAGCTTCAAGTTTCTCTCAACATCGTCATCTTTGTATTTGGATGGATTGATTCCCATAAGTTATCTGGAAAAGCGCAGGTCATTCCGTTCTTCATTTTTGTGTTTTGATCATCAGGGACAAATGACAACTATAGTGTGCTAATATCAGTCCTTATAAACATGAATGTGTAATTATAAATAAGTGCTGACGTGAGTACATTCAAGCAATTTAGACTCATTCAGATTTGATATGAGGATGAAGTCATTTAGAGAACCTCAGTCTATTGGTCGGATCATCATCCGGACAGATTTGAGCGAGTAGTACCCGCCTCCGTACTCTGCCCAAAAGATCCCATCCTGGAATTTGCTGCGATACACACCACCAGAGTACCATACGCCATTCAGATTGGTTTGACCACATGCGTTGTACCACCATCCGCCTTTGTGGAAATGAGCACAGTTTCCTTTGGATAGGAGTGGATGAAGAGAATACAATGAGTTGGATTGACAGAACACATTTGCTTCTATTAGAATTAGTTTAATTACATTTCTAACTTACTGTGAGGTTTAGCTACTAAAATTTGAATAAAATTGTGAAGGAAGCAAATCTGTACTCTCCTGACACCAGGTGCAACTTAAGACTGTAGGACTTATCTTTAAAAGTGATTCAGGGATCACTAACCCAGTTCCTGGAGATCTACCTTCCTGCAGTTTTCAGTTGCAACCCTGATCAAACTTACCTGTTCATGTTTGATCAAGGTTGAAGTTGAACAGTTCAGGAAGATATATATTCACGAAAAGGGTTGATGATCTTGGATGTAAGTGATAGTAAATACTGTCTAAGAGGGTAAATGATCAAAAGTGGACAGCCTCTTGCTCAGTGTCTCAAACTGCTCCTTAAAGGGCTACTGTTGTGCAGAGTTTAGTCTATCCCTAATAAAACACACTTGAAACCACTAATCGAGACCTTCCGCCTCACTAGAACCTTCTAGGGAAATCTTAACTATAGGATGTTCCAAGTGCAGCAATGCCCAAACTCTGTCCTGGGCTAACTAATCAAGCTCTAACTAGGCTTTTTAGAAACATCTGTGCAGGTGTGTTGAGGCAAGTTGGAGCTAAAATCTGCAGGACATCGGCCCCACAGGACTGAGTTTGGGCTCCCCTATCCTAGTAGTTGCAGCATGTTTGGACACTCCTGAACTGAAGACTGTTTACACTGGATGAAACAAAGCACCTATTGCACATCAAACAAAATAGGGGGCAGAATGCAATGCATTGGTTTAGCAGAACACTTATCTTCTGATTCACTTATTTTAATTCCACTTAATCTTACTGAGAGGCATGGTCAGTTTCAACTTTTGAATTAAATGGAAGCAGATCTGTACACTGTGTCTACTGTAACACTTGTCATCAAATAAAAACTTGATGATTGTCTACACTGGATCCAACACAGTGCTGTCAGACTATCTCAGACTATAAACTATAACTGATATAAACAGTTTTATTTATGATGTATGAACACAAAGGGGAAATTATTTTCAGCTGGGACTGTTGCATCAAATGTAGACCATTTCTAGCTTAAAATTGTTTCCTTAAAGGCCACTGTACAGCATATATGAGCTGCCACCCAACTAAATATACCTGAAGCTGCTAGTTAAGGTATTCAGATTTATTGGATACGTCAAGGGAAGACAAAATGTTGGGTTGCTGGGGTGTTACCTTTCGAAAGGTACATTTGGACCAAAAAGATTCAAATTGGTACCACCTTAAAGGTACATATGTTGACCCATTTCAACTGAGAAATACTGTTTATTACTGTACAGCATGGTACACATTTATTTCTTTTTTCACTGTCAAGGTTGTGAAAATATGTAAACTGTTTTTACAACTCTTTTCTTAGAGCAAGAGTGATATGGATTACAATTTTCTAGCATACACCACACCTACCGAACTGTAAACAACACATTGGTGTCTAAAGTTCAAGTATTGCTATTCAAGCACTACAAAGGTATACCTTTCGTAAAGGTACTACCCCATTCAAGGACTACAAAGGTATACCTTTTGAAAAGGTACCACCCCATTCATCTCCAGATTTTTTTCCTGTATTTCTGAGCAGGACTTTGCTCTAGCTGTTGCAACAAATTGTAGACATGATAAAAAATGTATGAATTCAACCCAACCTTTTCTTTTGTAACTGTCCAATTCAAACTGACTGCGGGCACCAACTGACCTGTAAAGGCGTCTTTATCCCGATCAAGGGTTGTGAATGGTTTTCCATTGTGACTTGTGAGAGAGTCTCCTGCATTTCCTTGGTAGGTGCCCAGCCTTAACCTGAAGCCCTCACTCTCAGGTTCCAGATGGAAACTGCTGTACTCTGCATACACCTTCTTCCCAACCCAGTCCTCCAGCTCTACCAGCAATTTGTAGTCCCCCTGCTTGGCTAGATTATAGATGTTCTCCAATCCCAGCCAGTGCTCTCCATCTATATTCCCAAAGCCTTTCTGTGTGGGAGAAGGAGGGGAGTTAAGTAGAGAAACTGTAATAGAGATGGAGTATGTGACTGTGTAATAGAGATGGAGTATGTGACTGAAGTTTGATCTTTTCTCCAATGGAAAGGTTCATCTTAGTCCTAGTGGATTTATGTGGTTTCCTCCAACTGTGTGCAGTTATTGTACTTGTTTTCATTTTATTTGTGTCAGGGAGTAGGACTTGAGGTATATTTCTGTAGTAGGCTTTCAACTGCGGACTTACAATTCACTCATCTGGCAAGTGAACACTCTCAACTTTGACTAAATCGGTGAAGTCACACTCCCAGGACAGACTTTGCAGGGAACTTGAGAACTGCTTTATAAAGACATAACAGGATTTTTCCACTGATTTCAGCAATGTACAAGTGGAAAATGGTCATTGTCGATCCATTGCTCAGGAAAAGGATTGAATTATGTTCTTTTGGTCTTCGAGCCTCCTATATATCACAGCTATAGCGCTTTGGTTTCCCCAACTGAAGATGAATGTCTTTTCCTGTTCAGCACTAATGCTGTAAACATATGTTATGAAATTCATAGCTAAAACATGCCTTCACATTATATAATATAGTGATTGATCTTGAAAAATATTAAATAATAATAATGCATCAGCCATATTGTTCACAAGTTTTATCACACTATATGGACATTTTATAAGCCAATAATTACTGTTTTGCAGTGTCTGATAACCTAAAACTGTTATATTGCACATATTCAACTAAAAGTACAGTTCAAAGATGCTTAAACATACCACAAAAATTGTCAGCTGTCAACTATCAGGCTATTGTTTTGTTCCTCGAGTAAAATTGTTGCCATCTTTAAAGAAAGTAAGCCACATTTGTTTATGAGAGTGTCATGCTTTATGCAGCCAATTTTATATGAACAAAGGTATGTACAATATAAAACATGGTGCATCTATTTTGTACTTAAATAGATATAAATATGCTTAAAGCAAAGAAAAAAAACATAATAATAAAGTTTCTTGGCAGTTCTAAAATGATCAATGACATTACTTGGCCAGAAAATTCTGAACACATAAATCACGTAGGACTTACTGGTAATCTCATCACACTTTCCAGCTCACAAACCCACTTGCCCCACTGCACTCAACCTGCTTTGAACTGGGATCAAACCAGTGAGCCTTTGCGGGGGTGAGTGTAGCAGAGGCCAGCTAGCGAAGTGCTATGCAGGGAAACCTCACTCCTCTGACCTCAAAAGGTGTTTGAGCGACAGATGTTAGAGGTCAGGGTCTTTAGCCTTCTTGTTAGAGCAACCAACTCCAGTGCAAAGAATCACCGGTTTGATCCTAGGTCAGAGTGGGTTGGGTGCAGTAGGAATGGTGTGTTACACGTAAGGCCTCGTCCGGGATGGGAGTGAGGTTTAAGGGGGTGAGTGTAATGGATGCCAGTTAGCGAAGTTCTATGCAGGTAAACCTCACTCCTCTGACCTCAGAAGGTGTTCTAGCAACAGATGATAGAGGCCATGGTCTTTAGCCTCCTTGTTAGAGGAAATGACTCCAATGCAAAGAATTGCCGGTTTCATCGCAGCTCAGAAACGGGTTGGGTGCAGTAGGACCGGTTGGTTACATATACTAGGAATGTCTCCAGAGGTTGCCCTATTTGCTGATTTCATATCAGATTCTTAGACTTACAGGTAAAGTTTAAGGTAAGAGGGGATTGTGCTACAGATGCATTGTTTTAGTCTTGTACATTCATTGATCTGTATTTTACTCATGCCCGTACCTTGTAGTTCTCCCAGTTTCTGAAGAAGTTGACTGAGCCATCTTTTCGTCGCTGAAAAACAGTCCACCCTCCATTGTCTAATTTATGTTCGCACCAGGCCTGAATCAGTCTATCACTTCCCTCTGCCTTCAACAGATACATCCCACTGGTACTGTGCCCTGCCTGCCGCACCTGGGAACAGTCTTTGAATGGGCCTGTGGAAAATGCAGAGAAATGCAAATTTGGTTTCTTATTTCAGTATATAATATCTGGACCAGAGACATTCATGAGGACAGCTTGTATTCACAATGAGATTTACTTTCTCTCAGCTAGTTTGAAACTTTTAGTATGATGGTTAAAAGGAGTAATTGTTAAAAATACCACGGATGTTAAAAGATATCGGTTACTAAATTCTTCTGTATATCCTCTTTTATGTTCAACAAAAGAATAAAAATTAGACAGGTTTGGGACAAGTAAAGGTTGAGTAAATTACTATCACTTGTGGTGTTCGGACTAGCACCGGAATTAGTTAAGGCACATTTGCTTTTATTGTGGGATGCGAGTTGTAGATATGGCTATGTTGATGATACTGAATATCTGAATAGTGTTCTGTAGCTCAAGTAAGGTCAGTTTCTCACATGATGTTATGCAGGTAGTCAGTGTTATATTTGAAACTACCAATAGTAGTTTAAAGGCTGTTAACTCCTGAAACAAATTTCAGACTGAACTTCATTTTATCCTGAGTTTGTCTGAAATTACTGTACATGGACGCAGTTTTCACTACTGTATCAAGGCTTTTACCCTGCTTTGATCATGATCATGTAAACTCTTGGCCACTTGAAATAGGCATCTCGGAGCAGTTTAGTTTCTTAACTGAAATCTCTCCCTGCTGGGTCTTTTGAGCTCTGGACTGGTTGTCTCTATCCTGAGTACACAGTCTCCTAGCACTCAGATTTGGCCGAAAGATAAATACCCTGCTCGGTCCTGATGAAGTTACCATGCCCAGACACCAGCTTAGGCCTTGTGCGACTCCCTCTTCCTTTGGTTATTTTCTGCTTATTTTTCTTTATCGTCTTTACTTTCAACTTAAGCTAAAATCATTATCAGTCATATAAAGGTGAGCCAGAGAAAGAAAGAAAAGAAGAGATTCCCCTCTGCCAAAGACCCTTTTGGGCGGTATGGTCGGTTTGTTGTATAAGAGGACTTTCCTGCGTTGAGGGGAAGTTCTTCAGTAGCTCTAGCTGTGCTGGAACAGCTGTGTTAACCAGCCAGGTCCCAGTGTAGCCCTGACCGCCTGTCTATGAATGATGGCTATTGAGCTCATACAGACAGACATTGTGCCGGGCGGCTCCGGGTGGGGGTTTTCTCTGCATAGGTCCAGAAGGACCCTTGAACCGATCCGCATCTTAGACTCATCAAAAAAGTACTCTTTGAGCAGCTTGTGTTTTTTTTTCTCCAGTAATGATACATCTTCATCCGCCAAAAATCAGGTTAGGAGAATGTTTTGCTTTGGTCAGCCATGGTTATAATTTTCTGTGTTTTGGGGGTGATGCGGGCTAAACTGAGCTGTCATTAGCGGTCAGTCGCAAGAGAATCTGGTTTCTTTAGAGACTGGAAGTTGAAGCCTGTTGCTTATAGAACTTTTCCCAGAGATTTTATCATTGTTTAAGTCTTGGGTTGAGACTGAAGATCTGCTCGATAAGCAGTGGAGATTATTTATTGTGAAGGTTGGGTATGTGTGAGACATGGAATTGGAGAAAGCTCCCACTATTTGCGGAGGTTTGTGATATTTATACACCTACAGAAGACTTTATCAGTAAAGGCTTTGGTCCAAAACCACCATCTTACTCTTGCACATGCCTGCATATTTGGCTTGCCGAGTGTGGGGTCTTACAAAAGTGTACATGCTTCTGTGGAGAATTGTAAATGTCCATTTAAGACTAAGGCATAATAGATTCAGTAATAAAAATGATTGCTTGTACCAGGAATAGTTTGCTAATAAATATGTTGGTGTCAGTTGAAATGTGCTTAAAGAATACAAAATGACAAGACATTTAAATTAGTCATTTATAATATTTTATGATTTAAGTCAGAGCTGATGCCCTTGTGATGTTATCTTAACATGAAACGAGCATGAGTTTACCTTTCCCCCAGGTCACACAATCTATAACTCTCTTTGAAGTAATAGATTTACATGGTTCATTTTCAGCACACACATATGCTGTAGATCTCTATTTCATATTTAGTCATCTGTGTGTACAATAAAGCGGTGTTTTATGGTTTGGCCTTTTACTGACAGTTACATGGCTGTAAAACTTGTCAAGCAAGGATGTGGTCTTTAAAATGGCAGCGTGAATGTGTGCCTTATACTGCTACCAACAGGGAGGGAGGGAGAGAGAGAACAAACTCAAACAAACCTGCTTTTCTGAATAAATAAAATGGAATAATTAAAAAACGTACATCTACTGAAGATGCGGGGTTGAATGTTGTACTTATATACTGTTAAGCCTAGCTAAAAGTGTTCTGCATGTTGTTCATTTAATTTACTTGTATATTAAAAATAATCTTTCAGAATGATTTTTTAAAAACAAATTACGCTTCTCACAGTCTTGTCATTTAGAAGACATAAATAATGGCTAAAGCAGTATACTTAATGGGATGTGCAGTACTTATCCTGTTTGTTTACACAGACACAATTTTCTCTTAGAGCATGTGTCAGTTCTGATGCTTTTATTCTTTGATGTAAGAAATTATTATGCTCTATGGATTGATAAACTTTGATTCATTTATTGAGAAGACATTCAGAACCCCAGTTTAGATTAGCCTAAAAGTTCCTCCACTTCACTTTTCTCTAACCCATCTCTTTAATCTGCTTCAGATTTTTCTTGGAGGGTTGTGCGGGTGCATGTTTTCACGTGTTCACTTAGGAATCCGTGAGCTCATATTTTGTTTTCATGGGCTGCCAGAGAGGATTCTGCAGGAGCGGAATGAGGATTCTGAGATTTGTCTCAGTAACTTCTGGCGTTACAACGTTGCACAGGCTGTTTCTGTCTGTGTGTTCATGCTTGAGGAAGATCCCAATGCTGCACATGGAGAACACATAGGTGACCATTACCTCCAAACAGGACTGATACCCAATAGTCTATTTAACATTGTGTCACAAAAGTTCTTAAGTCAGCATTTTGGAAAAGACCAATGAGAACTGACTGAATGGGCATTGGGATCAGATCAAGACTTACCTTTTTTGTCCCCCAAGCATTTTACTTATCTACAAGGATAACAGATCTGTACTCACTGTTGGTTTTCCACCACAGAAATATGTGATATTACAGGGCATGGGACAGCCATGACCTACTGATCAGAGATTTGTACTTGTGATCCAATGGTTGCAGGCTCAAGTCCTGGCACTTGCAGGAATTGTTGGTCGGGAGAGTTAATAACCAGAACTCTCTTCCACCCTAAATACCATAGCTGAGGTAAGACACTTGGGAAAGTCACCGAAACCCAGCAGTTCTCAATTCTGGTCCTTGGGCCCCCCCGCCCTTCACATTTTGTACGTCTCTCTTATTTCATACAAGGATCAGTTCATGGATGTCTCATGGATGTGATGATCTGAATCAGGTGTGTTAAGTAAGTGTGCAGACTGATGGACCAGATATCCGGAATTGAGAACCACCGCAGATACCCCAACTGTTTCCCAGGCATTCCCACCTCAAGATGTACGTTCATGTTGTTTTCCTTGTGTGTCTGATTCACTTTTGATGAAAATGTCCGTTTAATGTAAATGTACACCACAGACGCACAGCACAATTTCCCTGATGTCTTGACATTGAAACTACCCCAGGACCCTTCATTTAAAGAAGCCTTTCAAAACGTGTCATTGTTTTTCACTTAATTCCACATTAAACAAAGCCAAACAGGAGATCCACTGTCTTATCAGTATCATTCATAATACAGCATGTCAAGTAATTCTGTCACCATGTCCCTAGTCACTTACCATCAGCAGTAAGAGTGCCCTGTGGGGGTGGTGGGATTCCCAGTGGATCAGGCGTTGGGGTGTCCATTCGTGAACCCCGAGGAAATGCTCTGTTGTTGTTGTCTCTCTGAATCTCATTAGTGAATCGGTTGTTGTTGGCTGGAATGCTTTCAGGCACCACCTGCACCAGCGGTGGAACTGCTGGCAAGTCTTGACGTCCATATCCACGTAGACAGCGCTCCTCCAGGGCAGCGATGAGCACAGATTGGTTGTTTACTGTGCCTGCAAGGCCTGCAAAACGCAACTCCAACTCTTTGTAACGGGAGGCTAGTCGGAGCATCTCTGTGGTGACATTCAGCACACGGTTCTCCAGCTGCGCCAGTTCCAGGGAGTTGTCTCTCTTACGGATAATTTCATGAAGCAGCTGCATGTACAGCTGTGTCACTCGGGAATTCATGTTACGAGATTCTTTGCGCAGAAGTTTCATCTCATTTACCAAGTTCCCGTCCACGTCTGCCACTAGTTGCAGCATTTCAATCTCTCTTCGCTGCTTGGATAGGATCTCCCGCACATCAGAAATGTCCATACGTGTTACACGGTCTTTGTCTGGTTCAGGCCCAGTCGCAGATGCACAAATTGGACCTGTGATCTTCTGCTGGGGCATCAAGAAAGTGTAGGAACACTTCTTGGAGTCATCTGCTGGTGCTCGCCTTTGTCGAGAATGCAGAAGTTCAGTTCCTGAGTGGCTTTTGCCTAACAAGCTAATGCAGAGGTAGAGCATTGTGCCCATGCACCACGTTACACCTCTCATGATTACTTCTGTTATCACCTCACAGGGTTTTTGGCTGCCTTTTTTTTTTACTTGTTGCTTGTTTTACCAGTGGAACACTAGAAGAAAGGTAATCCAGTGCCACTTCTGTTAGGAAAAAAGAAATGCAGCCATCAGTCAACAATCATGCACATCATTCATTTATCATCAAAAGTGTCATTATGTTTGTGTTAACACATACTGCAGTAACATTTAACATTTATTTATATGCCTCTAGACACATACTTTGAGGTCTATACTCTTAGCCTTAAATGGAATTTTATTGTAGAGGTCATCTAGCTTGTTAATCTCATGGAATGAATTAACCACAACAAGAACCTCATGTTTTCTAAGCCCAAGGGGGAGTGACTCTATGATGAATTTACATTGCTGATCGTTTGGTTAATAGTAAAGGAAGACTGGGCATGTGCTGATGTGGACACCACAGCAGTCTTTTACGCAGCACCTTATGCGGCACAGTAGGAGCCCACAGGAGCTGTCATTAATTCAGACAAGCCCCTAGAGTATTTGTTCTTGTTTCCTTTAACGTTTTAATGGAATGCCGCCATGAAAAGTATGTGTATTAGCAGTTCAACATGCTGTACAACCTTTACCCCTTCTGTTCTCTCAGACACCCTGCTGTGCTATTCAGTCTTGTCTCAGACACTTAAATCAAACACACATTTGATCCTTCACATCCTTCACATCCTCCACTAACACATGCCCCCATCCAGATGCTTGATATCCTCTGCTTACAGCTCATCCCTCCTCTGATGTCATCACCATGGTATGCTATACACAACCCATCTTTAGTGTGGACTTTAACCGTTCAACCACCCTTGTACCTTCTGCTCAGTAACACATACATGTAATCCCCCACACCACTTTTCCAGGGTTCAGGGGATCAAAATTCCTCGTACACCCTGCTGTGTATCCCACCCTACAGGGTTCAGTTTTTAACAAACTCCCACTCTGAGAACCCCAGCATGTCTTCAGTATTTGGCATAGCAGCACTCTCCAGGAGCAGGTTTAGGCTCCTCTAATCCTAGTATTACCTTTCCCTTCATGCTGAGCTCTGCTTTTCATCAACACCTAGATGTGCTTGCTCCGGTCCCCCCTCCTTGTTTATACAGAGACACATTTCGCAGTCAGCATATTCACCACATGTGCCGTTGCAAGACCAAAGATATGTCTGCAGATCTTGTTCAGTTGTCTCTCCATGTCAGCTTTACTAGAACACTATATTGTCGCAGTAAAAAAATGTTGCTGACATTTTAATTTGGAAAGGGAGTTCAATAAAAATCCTACTATGACCTCATATGCTATAGATTATAAATTAGTGGTATCAAATCCTACTCCTTGCGAGCCAATGTCATGTAGAGTTTAACTACAGCAGGCTGTAAAGGAACACTCTTCTTTATGGAAATGAACTCACTTTAAATGTCTTCTATAGTTAAACAATAGAGCTTTATCTTTTTTGAATCCACTAATCCAATCTTTGGGTCTGACATAAACTCTTTTAGCTTAGCTTACCTAGAAACTTTGTTTAGCGTAGAAATTAGAAAATAGCAACTTAGTTTTTTGTCTGTCTTAGTACATGGTGTAACTACAGTAATGTCAAGTCTGAAGAACTTAATCCAGGTGTCTTTAAATAAATATGAAGCTAAAGTTTTGGACTTGCCAAAAAGGTATTTACCTTGCTCTGCTCATACCTGTATAGCTCAAATGGGTCAGGATCATAATTGGCTTGTTATTCTGCTCCCATCCACAGTTTCTTTCAATTTTAACCTGGTTTAATATAACATTGTATTTCTTTGCTTCAAGTCTCTACTGTATGATTCCAACTGGAAGTAGTCAATGACTTAACCTAAAAGGCTTTGGGGTGGGTTTAAAAATGACCGGCTCTTTCTTTTAAAGCAAAAAATGAAATGAAACATGCAGTCAAGCACAGACTAATCGGGCATGAACTAATTTTACACGGTGGAGCAATTTGAAACTGCAGGCAACAGACTTTGAGAAGCATGGTGTGTGGACTGAAGAGATTAGAATGTGAGAAGAGTGTGAGACAAGGCTTTAAAGAAAAAAGTCTGGGCTATAGCAAAGAAAGTGGGTCACATATATAATATCCTTTTTGGCTGATCTGCCGAACAAGACACCTGACTTCATGGGAAAAGAAGAACTTGTGCAATCCAAAAGCCTGCTGATTTGTCTCCATTTGTGTCTATCTCAATTTTCATCACTTTCCTTCAATCTCTTATTCAGGGACTTGATTCGCTCAATCTAATTACCCTTAACGATCAGCGCACACTAAGTCATCTGGATTCCCTTCTGTCATTTTTCGCAATCACACAGGAAAAACAATTCTAAATATTTCTTCTTGGGCGTATTAATGGGCAACTAACATATCCAGAACAGATGTGGGAATGTCGGCCCACGCCAAAACAGAACAATTCAGGACGTAGTGGTAGCGGAATGCTAACCTGAGGGATTGAGAGGAAAACTCTTACCTTCTAATTTACTGATTTTTTGTCTCCCTCCCTACAGCCATAAAATGGAGGGTTGCGTTTGTCTCCATTACACAGTCTCTCAACCTTTCACCGTTGCTAATATATAGTAATAGACAATAGGCTCATACGCTACACACAGTATGTTCTCGAAGGTATCAAGATAACACTTTATCTCCCAACTCCTATACAGTACTGTTCATCAAATAAATGGACACTGTATCTTCTTGTTTCCTGTACACTTACTGTGCATGCATATGGCCAGTAATTGTGCCTCCTCTGAGATTGTCGTAGAGAGGTACTGCACATGTTTTAGAACGAATAAGGAATTCAGATCAACAGCTTGGCCATTTATTATTTTCTTACAATTGCAAGTTTTTTAGGTTAACCCTCGGTTTGAACACTGTTCGTAAATAGATGATTGATTTCAGCAGCAATAGCTTCTTGAATGAACGCAAAGTATCAAATACTAGAGGGCATTTGATTGGCCAAAAGATTGGATGAGTCACAAAATTGAAGTTTTTAATGTTTATATCTTCTAAATCAGGGTCGGTCCTGGAGGGTAGTTGTCCTGCAGAGTTTAGCCCTACTTGCTTTAACACACCTGACAAGAAGTTTTTAGGATGCTAGTTAGAGCTTGATTAGCTGGATTTGGTGAGTCTTATTGGGGTTTTCCAGGACCAGTGGTGCATCCTAAATTGCATACTTCAATACTATATAGTACGCTAAAAAATCTATGCAAGCCGAGTAGTATGTCTTAATTCATAGGATTTATAAAACGGTATCCAAGAAATACCCGAATAACCTACTGAAGTGCGCATCCGATGGGCACTATTCAATGAGGCCACTCGAGAATTCATAAATCGAGTAAAGCGAGGCAACTAAAGCGGGTAGGTCAATACGACAAATGGCTGATGTAGTACGTCCAAGTTCCATTTATACTACTCACATTCATGCTACATAGAATATGCTTTTCTAATGGTGGTGTAGTAAATTCTTATTCAAATCTGGTAATAGGGGACTTCGGACGCATCCCAAGTTTAAACACTTTTTTTAAATGCACGTTTTGTTACTGTATTTTGATACCAACCCATAAAACACAAACATTTTTACTTGATGGAGGCTTTAATATGACATTTGTGAGTCCTGCGCTACCAATTGAAAGATTATAAATTTTACTTTCAGGGAACACATAATCTTTGTATATTTTGAAGTGTATATTTAAATATCACGTTGGATAAAGTAGGAGTCTGCCAAATGAATAAATGTAAATATTAACATTTTTTTGTCAGCTGTCTTAACAAGTTTCAGTATCACTAATTTGCTCTCTCTTCTGAGCTCTCAGAATTAGCCAAAGATCTTATGCTCACTCTAAAGATGCCATTAAAGCAACACTACTTTTGGAAAATATGCTCATTTATTAACTCCCCAGAGTTAAATAGATGAGTTGTACCCTTTTTGAGTTTTTTTTTTTTTTTTTTTGCCTATCTCCAGTTCTGGTGGGATCCCTTTTAGCTTAGATTAATATATATCATTGAATCAGATTTTGCTCTAGGAACTCAACTTTTAATATTTTCTGTAAGTCTTATTACATGATGTAACCATAGGAGAGGCAACTTTTAAATTGGAATATTATCAAAACTCTTTGGTCATTTGCTATAATAGTTTAATCCGTTCCAGTGATCTATGCTAAGCTAAGCGAAAAGTGCACCCCTCACAACTGGAGATTGGTTGAATGGATTAAGAAATGCTAGAGAAGTTGTGTGAAGTGTTCCTTTAACTATAATAATCATGTATCTAACAAGTTGGATTAATGTAATTAGCTTTTAAATTTTTTTGTCAACTTAGCTCTTTATTCAGCTTTGGCTTAGTACCACCACTGCACTACGGTGATCCCAGTTTCCACATATCAATTCCCACCCATCTGAGTCATACTTCTCCAAGCTCTATACAATAAACTAACTGTTCCCATGATTCACTTCATCATCCTCTTTAGCTTTGATGTGCTGTATAGACAGCTGTGACCCTCTACTGTTCCAGCCAATTGGCTCTTCATGTGTTGTTGGTAACCATAATTCATAGAGCTTCCTGTGATACCCTTGGGTTCCTCGAGTGTTTTTACGAAGTCAGTATCACTGTTATGATGTCACCAGCCACTGAGCACATGAACATATAATCCACACTCTTGTTTTCATTGGGTTTGACTCCGCTAACATCAGTCACAGTGGCTGTCAAACACTAAATCCCAGCGGTTCTTCTGCATTAGGCAGAATTACGGGTTGTTCAAAAAGAAGTTCTTGTATTTTATAAAAAGCAAGGCACAGTATTGATCAGTGGAAAACTTTGGAACTTGAGAAGTGTTTTTGAAAGTTAAAGTTCTTATGAGTTCACATGACATCTTATAAACATGGTAGTCTTGCGCAAGACGCTAAAAAAAGCAACAAAGATGGTGTTCTATATTTACATTATTGAAAAGCCTAATCAAAACAGGTTATTCAGCTTTGCAATTTATATTTATTTAAGAAAGTGTACTCTGTTGATGTCTACCATAGCAAGAAGTCTTAAAGTTGCAGTCTCCAAACCTTGTTGCAAAGACACCCCGAC